AAATAATGATTTTTTGATTTATAAAACTTAGTCGCAAGTAACATATTAAATTTTAAATAAAGAAAATCGTAAAAATATTAAATGTTAGGCCATGCAAAATTGGTGTTTTTGGTTATCATAAATTTTATAAAATGGCCCAATAACTCGGCTTTTTATTTTCAAAAATTATATATATAAAAATTTTGTAATCTAGTATAGTTATGGGAACTAGTATATATGGCCTTATTAATCTGATATATAATAATAATACATGGATTTGTCAAAATGACTAAGCGTGATTTATTAAATCACTACTTAATATCTAAAACACTAAAGATATGCTAGGAAACAATTCTAGAAACCGACCAGATAACTTTATTACAAATTAAAAAAATTAATTGTTTTTAAAGAATATTCATGATTTGTTAATATAGTAGTCTGAATTAGCGCTTAATGGTTCATTTAAAATAAATAATATAGTATAATTAATTTGAATTACTAAATTACAAGAAATAAAAAGTATATTCAAAACAATTTTATACTAAATTTTACGACTTCATAAAAAATAATATAAATTATTAAAAGTTGATGTCCATTTCTTTTGTTACATGATGTATCTTAACATTACAGCATAGTTCTATTTAAACAGTTTAACTGCAAGATTTATATAAATAACCCATCATAATGAAATGATAAATAATCAAGTCGTATGAATTAAATATAACTTATATTCTTAAGTTGAGAGACTACACTAATCCTCCATGAAGTAGATTGTTGATTTATAAAGGTGAGAAAAGAAACACGTAATGCCATTTTTAAAGTACAAACACGATGAATGTAATTAATATATTAGTATAGAATCATCCTCAGGCGTTCTATAGTTTCAAAGTTAAACTTTAACGGCATGTCTCTTGGAAAATTCTTCCAATTCTTCGGCGACCGGTAAATCCGTTTCGACAAAATCATCACCTGACGCCTATTAATGCGGTCGTAAGTTATCACAACCAAATTACAGAATTCATATATGTACAGGATACAAGAGAATAGTTACGCATAATAAAGCCCAACGGCGATAATGTGTGTCACTGAGCACGAAATGAAAATCATCCGGTAGCAAAACACAACCATCGGGATGAAAGCTACAATGATTTGCGTATAATGACTTGAGAATGGAAAGAGACCTCTCGTAACTAGATTTAAAACTTTCAGGTTCAACCTATTTCAACAAAAAAATTGTATTATTTTGTCATTTCAGATGTGTTGTTGATGTTAAAAAATTACCTCCTCATCTTTTCGCATTATCTCTTTTTGCACACCAATCTCTTTCCAGAAATCATGATTTTTGATTTATAAAACTTAGTCGCAAGTAACATATTAAATTTTAAATAAAGAAAATCGT